CCTGCTTTGATACCTTTAATTAAGGCAGTGCAAGTTGATTCATTCCAGGAGCATTGTAACGTGATCCCTTAGCACTGCAATGTCACATGGAAAAAGGGCAAAACTTGTAAGTAAGGATAATGGGTTTAATCCCTGAAGACGACTCTTACTCCACTCACTGAATTTTCTTTTGCTATAGTATTTTTTTGGCAATATATGCACCAGTTGGATTTACAAATAAATAATTTAAGTAGAGGAAAACGTGCACTGTATTGTAAAATATTCATATTGTAAAATATGAGCTGACTGTTATGAAAATACAAGTATCTTGGCAGTCTAACCTATACCTTGCTCGCACTCAAGCTGTATAATTGTTACAACCAAGGGCAGTGAGATTATAAAACTGAAAAGCAACAATATTTGTGTGAAACAAAAAAAGCCCAAACCTTGTTAAAGTCAGACAAGAACAGCAGTAACTTTCATACAACAAACATCTAACATTCAGAAATTGGAAGGAATGATTTATGTTATGCAGCTGTGCACAAGGATTTTGTTAGAAAATCTGTTGGTGAGCTTTACTGCCTTTACAGTGTGAGAATACCCTCTGGCCATCCCACATGAGGTAATGAAAAAACAAAAGGTCAGTTCTATTGTGATTTAAAAAAAAAAAAGTTACCTGATATAAAGCACTGTAGCAGCAAGTACAGCACAGTAAGAACGGTGAGGCAAAGGGTCTGTTGCGTTTGTTTCTGTGCAAGAATATTACTACTGCTAAAAGCACTCCAGAACACAAAGATAAAATAGAATAAGCACAAACATCAGACCAGTCTGTTAGTCTCCCATTTTTAAAGATTAGCCAATATTAGTCAATGTGGTCCCATTTAACACATCATCAGTATTTTGAAATGCATGATGAGGAAAAGGGCTTGATTTTCAGGCTTCCACATACAGCATCTCCAATTAGGCAAAATACCTGAAAAAGCACTTTGAGGCATGATAATAAAACCAAAGAAAATGCTGAACTCAAAATACACTTTCTCGCTAACGCTGCACCACTTTCTAATTAACGTAACAAACTCTGTGCTGTCAGTTCTCTACAGTTCCCACCAGCACAGTATCTCAGTTTTGCTAAATACTTCCGTGATAAAATAAAATTGTTTTCTACAAGCTGTTCTTCATGTTTTATCTTAAGTGAGATGCAATTCAGCTTAAAGCTGCTCTTCTCCAGAGGTCTGGAGCACTACAGAAGACATACATGCATAAACTGATCCTACCAGCACTGGTGAGCCTTTTGCCAGCACGAGGGCACTCTCACCAGCAAGTACATTTTAGATCAGGCACACTGTTCATGTACATAAATTATGATTTCAAACTGAGCCCAGTTTCAAACTGACAGATACTGGTGCTGAACAGTCTTCTTAACCTTTAAAAGTGAAAATGTTTGATCATTTCCCATTATCCCAAACAATTACAGGTTTTTAATTCATCAGAATCTTGCTCTGATTAGAAGGGTATATGTTTTATTTTTACATAATAAAATGAGACTTCTTCAAATTCTCTACCCTGAATCCATACTGATACCTAATAATTTTCCAGCCTGGAATAGAACAGAAAATAATCAGCTGTCTGCTCCAAATCTGTTACTTTCAAGCCTCTAAATAGACCTGTCATAGTATAAATATGTATGTATGTGTAAAGAAAATCCCACTGAGAGCCAAAGCTGTATGGAAGGTAAAGGGCTGGGGAGAAACAATGCTGCAGGGCACATGAAAACACATTTACAGTCCTCTACCCTGTAGAATCAGTTTTTGCTCTTGAACCCACAGCAAAATCAAACCTGTCTTTGAAGCAAGCATCTTTATAGTAGAGCCATAACAGGCTGGCACCTCTAGTCCAGGCATGGCCCTACATTTCTTACGTACCCTACAGAACTGGTTACATGTCTCTCTGCTTCTCCAAGGCGAAGGGTTTGCCAGTCCATCTCTCTCTCTCCAGTGCACAAGGGCCGGAGCGATCCCTATTTCTGAAACAATTCTCAGCAGTTCCTTGCCATCATCTTCTTTCCTCCCAAATGCTCTCCTCCTCTCTTTTCCAGGGTTTTGCCTCCCTCCAGCCTTAGCAATCTTCATCTGCACACAAGACCTCTCCTCTCATCCCTGAGCAATGCCTTGGCTTGTTCCCACTGCTGTCCTGCTCAGACTCCCCAGCCTACTCTCTCTTCATCATCATTCTCAAGCCATCTCACCTCTACTCAAGGCTTCCTTGAAATTTGTCTAAATGCAGAAAAAAGCAGAGGCAGAAACACCCAGAACAGCAGAACAGGCAGCTTCTGGCAACAGCCCCTTTACATGCAGAAACATCACAGTGGGGCAGGACCGTTGCCTTCTGAGCCCAGTATGCCCCCCTTTAAATACACAAATTAATACAGGAAACTATGCACCTTGGGTGTGAACCATCTGCAATTAAGAAGTGAAAAGCACAGAATGATCATCAGAAACACATGCTTGCACAGAAAAGCGCTTCTGCCAATAGAAAATCATGCAGCCATTTAGGAGAAGTTCCTATACAGACACAAATGCTACAAGAACATCTCAGATTTTTCCATAATACAAATGTGACTAATTGTGACATTACAGTGTAGCATTTCCCTTCATTATTTTCCTTCTTTCTTACCCATTTCCATTTTATCCCTTACATAAATCTGGACAACTGTAGTACTTTCAGAGTGTACATTTTAACTGCAGATATGAAATCTGTTACTATTGCCTCAAACTGTTTAGACTGCTTGTCTCTGTGTATTCCTTTTATAGGAAGAATAAAAATGTTTACCTCTGCTTGAAATGGTTCTTTCTCTCTCCACACTGAAGATCAGCCAGCTCTAGGGTAGAGCAGCAGCAACTTAACTACGTATGGTAATCTCATAAAGCAATTTAGGACTTACTGTGAGATTTCCTGTTCAGAATTCAGTTTTATTTTTCTTTTACTGTATGTCATTCCCTGCAGCATGGTGATCTGTAACATCATGCTGGAGATTAGTCTAATGCTGTCTGGGAGGAAATAATCAGTTAGCTGCTGACACAGCAGTTCTTGCCCCAAACTTTGATTTTATTTGGCAATATCCCTATTGAACACAGGTGGTGAAAATTGTGGAAGCTGTCAGTTCTTAGCCACATGGACTGAAGATCAGCATGATCAGGAGAAGAAAATCCAATTTCATGTTTTCTGAACCAATCAACAACCAAGGAATGGTAGAAAAAATAAATATTAAAAATATTAAATAAATTAATATTAATAAATATTAAATAAATCTTAAAAGCTGCAAGAAAGTATAGAACATTCT